TCGACGAGCACGGCAGGTACGTGGATCAGCGGGGCCAATCTCGTGGTTACGATGGAGGATACGATCAAGGCTACCGCCAACCTGGGTCCAATTCAGCGCCGCAACTCCAACGTCAAGGCTGGCAGGAGCAGCAGGGCCAGGATCAATACGTGGGCCCGATTGGTCAACCAAGCGCGGTGCCCGGCCATATGCAGCATGGCGCCACATTGAACACTGGATCCGAATCATCCTTCGAGAATCCTCAATCACGAAGACGATCAGGAATCCCGCAGCCAACTGGTGGCTTCAGCTCTGAAGGCTATGACGGAGGTCGAGGCAACGGTCGGTCGGGCGTGCTACAGAAGAATAAGAGATTCACGGACGCCTACAACCAGGACCAGTACCACGGCCACCAAGGCAGCAGCGGAGCAGCCAAGAGAGTTATGGATTTCTTCAGGAGGCGGGGCAAGGCGAGAGGCGGCGAAGAGAGATAGAGAACTCTTGATGCCCTTGATTGCACGCCATCAGTGGATTCAAGCTCACGGCCTCTTTGCGGTGCTCGTTCGTCTCAGATGAGCTTATCCCCGGCACGACGTGTGGAGCGTTGAGAAGGGGGATGCAACACCACTCACCCCTCTATTCTACAATTTCGAGGTTTTTAATGTGTGAATACCAAGCCAAGAGAATGTGGTTGGTCTCTTGGTCTCATTGTCAGATGTCCATGTTGTCTTGATCGCCGACTGCATTGCAGGCGAAACGGCATAGAAAGGTGGAAGGAGTTTTCGTTCGTGGTTCCTCACTTCGTAATAGGGAAGTTTGTTATTTCTTGCGTCGATTGACGAAGGGGTCTGGGAAAGGTCTTTTTTTCGGTACAGACGGATTGGTGGTTTTTCTTCCTCAGCAAGGGATCATTTGCAGTCGTTGGTTCAACTCGTCGTTTTCCTCTTAATTCGATGGCATCACAGCGACTATCCTCGATTGCTCGCTGACGGCGGCAAAGGCGTACGGGAACACAGAAGAAGAGAGCCAGAGTTGCGGTGGTCGAGTTGTCAAGCGTATTGTGTAGCGAGGTAGAAGACGGCCCAGCCTCGTTTAGTTGTTCCGTGTAGGGTTGAAGCGTATTGAGAGCTATATTGAATGGCGAACCTGGCCATGCACTGTTTTGCGACCAAGTGAAGTCATACCGCGATCCCATTACGAGAAGCAATCACGCAGCTCAATCATCTGGAAGGTGCTCATCGCATCTAGCAAGTTGGTACTGATCAACTGATGACGGGATGACCCGCTAGATGGCTTGGCGGTGGCCATGATGTCTTGGCAGAAGCCAAGACTGCGCATGTTCCACCGGCGTCCCCTTCTGGAGAGGAAGTCCGGATGTTTTTTCCTGCTTTTTCTTCTCTCTCATCTCGGGGCTCGCCATTGCGGTGGCACGGGTGGGTGGCTCAACACTAACACCCCTGTGCCACCCGTCATTGTGGCTCAGGGGCTACGGATACGTGGCGCAGCAGGGAATGGACTCCGAGAATTTTGACGTCACTCTCGGCACGTGGGCTCCGGCTTGGTATTCCTTTGGCAGGGCTCTCATTGGATGTGCGGCGAATGGAAGCGGCTCCGTTCGTGTGTGATTGAAGCTTGACTTGATTAGTTTAATTCCCCTGATTATCTGGGAGTGTGACCGGTGTGACTTGTGAAGGGAAGGGAGTGCGAGAGAGAGAGAGAGCTGTTGTCAGATCGCGCGGATGACGCGTTCTTTGCGGCCGTTGGAAACATGCACGAATGCACTGTTGATCCTCTTTTTTTAGGGTTTTCTGTTTCCCATGTTTCTTTGGGATGCAGGTCGTGCAAGTGCCCTCTCTCTCTCACTGTCTTTCTCACTTCTCCAATGTTTCGCCCGGCACATGAATTAGGTTGTGGGCTTGTTACTGCAGATGGGGACGGATGAGGGCCAGACCGGCCGGCGGTGGGGGGATGGGGGGATGGGAATTAAGTTGCAGAGACGTGTAACTGTTTCTGAAAGATGGGCTCGGCCAAGCAAAGCAGAAAAGTAAGGCGAGGCGAGGCAAGGGGAGCGGTTCGTCGAAGGTCGGAAAATTCGAGGTAAGGTACGAGGTGAAGGGAAAAAAAAAAAAAGAGTGGTTCCGTGCACCGGGGAGGCAGTCTTTGCAGATGCGGTGAGAGAGAGAGAAACAGCATGAGCAAGGGCCTCTGTGTCTTCCATGTCTGTTCCATTGTTTGGGAAGCCTTTTTGGGTTGTCCTCCGCAGGTTGCTGGTGGGAATAGTCATGACTCTCTCACTCTGCATATTTGGTTGTCTACAACTTGTGGTTTTTGCGTATGAGGTGCAAATAGCCGGGCCGGATGGATCTTCCTCGCGTAGAGATGTCGCTGCACAGGGTACACGTGTTGTTGACAATCACACAAGGGAGGTTTTGACAGCCGGGCCAGGTGCGAGGGTCATCCTCGGGGTGTAGTCTGTCTGATAAGGCATTTGTGCATTACTGGGCGGGAGGGGGGAATGCGAAATGCGTGTGACCTGTATTGCTACATTTTGTGGATTCTACGGTTGCTGGCTCTGCCCCGGCTTTTGTGCTGCCTCTCATGAGGAGCAGTAAGGAAAACAAGCAGCAAGAGGAGGCATAGTGGATGGATGGACGGTTGGATCATGAGTGTACCATAGTGTCTTTTTACCGACAAAGCATCCCGCGAAACTAGAAACAAGACAGATGAGGGGGAATGGACCGACCGTCCGTGTCTTTCGGGCCATGTTTCGAGATTCTCCTCTTGCTTTGCCGCCTTGTGCGGATAGATAGAGGAAAAGAGAGAGAGAGAGAGAAGGGGAGAAAGCGTCCATCATCTGGACTCGCTGTTCTTGGCGCACGTTGCGACTTGAGTCGGAGGAAAGGCCGCGCGAGAGTTGCGGTGGTGGTCTAGGTGCTTGTTTCTTGAAGAAAGGTGGACAACAGTGTTTGGTTCCTGTGCTCTCTCGCACTCACATATTCACAGGTAGGGCGTGTTTTTGCAGGTTTCCTGCTTCAGTATGTTTCCAACGGGTGGTGTTTTGTTTGGATCGTTTGAAGTGAACATGATTTAAGCTCGTGCCGCCCACGGCTTGGCTTCCGTCCGGTGGGAGAAAGAAGGCATCGTCGGCCGGTCGCAGAGGGCTCGGACGCGAAGCTGTGGTTTCTGTTTGTTTGGACGGTGGGTGTCAGTGTGGCGTAGGTTAAATTCGCGGCCGGCGCCTTGATTACTACACTGGGCCACAGTCTAGTGTGAGTGTGTGAGTGTGTGTCCCTTCTTTTGCTCCTTCCCTTCCTCTTCACTAGAGCGGACAGTCGGTCTTTGGCGATGTTGGGACGGTGCGAGACGAGGGTTATTGCGAATTAGACTACGACTGTGAGGCTCAGCTGCACAGTCCGGGCGGAGCGGGCGGAGCGAGGGAGGACACACCTAGTACTCACAGTGAGAGGAGGGGAGGGGAGGGTAGGTAGGGTCAGGGATGGGTGGCACTTGGGGGAGGGAGCATTGGGAGCATTGGAGGGTATCCCACTTTCCGTTGCGCGAAAGGCCGTTGCTGTCTGTTGTCACAGTCATTATCTGATGGTTGCTTATTAGTGCGTATCCACTGTGAGTCTCGGTCGACGGCGGCCCTTTGTTGAGAAGGAGGCTGAGATGACCCTCGATGGCGAAAGACGTTGAGGCGAACAGCAAGCAATCGAGTTCGGTTGCCAAGAGGCCTCCTCCTTAGTCCGCAGTCCGTCAATCGTCGATACGGATGCTATGGATGCTGTATGTGATGGACCGGCAATGATGTGTTTCTCCCCTTGCAGCGGGTTGACTTGATGATGGGATGTGATATCATTGCCAATGGATGAGCTGGATGGAACCTGGATCTGGATTCGCCATGGTGGAAGTTGATAGGCGAGCGGACTGTGACAGCATGTACATGCAGGCAGGCAGGCCGATGATGCATTGTTGCCGCTGCTGTACTCGGTATGGCGTCGTCGTCGTAGTCGTCGTCGTCGCCTTCGTACCGGCCCTCGCCCAGTCCTGCTTCCTCCACCCACGTGTACGTACTGTTCCATGGCGAAAGCTTGGTGCGACCGCAACGCCCTTTGGTCCACGGCGCAGGTTCCAGATTGCAGTGCCTATGACATCCCTTGCACAGTAGTGTTCCTTACCCATTCGTCAGGGACCTTACACCGCGGGATCAACTCTCCACTTCCCTCCACGGTCCAGACATGTCATCAGGAGAGCTCCGGTTATCTGATGCAGCATTGCAAATCAGGGTCACGGCCAACTGGAGTCTTCACACTGGCGTATGGAAATAGAAACGGCGGTAATGGTAGAGGAAACAGAGACTCACGAAGGAAAAACAATCAAAGATGGAGAAATTGTGGACGCGCCACGGCAGTGCCTGAGGCAGGTGACCAGCGCTCTCTTACTGTATCTGGCACTGAACTTCGGCGGCGGTTCATCCACTAGAACGTTTCGACGTTAGCGATTGGCTTCGGGCATGCCAGATAGCGACAGGGGCTCCCTGCAGCGAGAGCTGCCCCATGTTCGGCGGGGGGCCACCCCTGTCGTGATTGGGGACCTTGATTTTACCTCCACGGTAGCTCTGGCGGCCGGTACACTTCCGCGTTCCCACCATCCATCGGCCTTCCGTCCCAAGGTGAGCGAGACTGCGCTGCGCTGCGCTGCGAGAGGGAAGGGAGCGGTGCGGTCCAGTGCAGTGCAGCGAGCTAAGGTCCCCGGCTGGGACGTTGCCTCTGCCTCATGCCCATCGCATCCGAGTTCTTTAAAGCATCCCTCGTCTCGCGCGTCCAACCGCAGTCTCGACTTGGTCTTTCTTCTCTCTCTTACTTGCCCTTCCTCCCCCCTCTCGAAGCTTGTCTTCATCTTGGTTGCGTCCCTTCTTCACCCATCAAACACAAACAACAACAACAATATCACACTTTACTGTGCCCTTATCTCAGAAGTAGCATCTCCGCCGAGACACGAGTGTCCGGTCATCAATTTCGATGAAGAAAGCCTCTACAGAACCGCCCAATATAGACAGTCGTGCAGCAGAAGCAAACGCGCATGGCGTCCACCGCTCCTCCTCCAAGCGATCCAAAGGCAATCCGGCTGCTCCCATAGACGCCATCGAACCTTTTCCCCTCTCAAACACCACGACCTCCAGCTCCAGCAGCAACAATGGCCGTGCCGACGACATCATCACTTCGTCCAATATCACAAGCTCCTCCGCGAGCAAGAACTACCTCCCCGACTACGAAAAGTCTGCTGCCCGCGAGAATGGCCTCACATCTACGCAGGTTGAGGGGAAGGGGTCTCTCGTAGGAAATGGGGTTGGTCCTCAGGACAACAGCAACAACAACAACAATAACACCCACCCTCAGCAGCAGCAGACAGCCGCCCCGGCTCAGACCGAGAAGCCCAATGTCGCTACTCGCTTTTACGAGACGAGCAAGATGATCATGTTCCACAGCTGGGTCAACCTGCTCCTCGTCTTCGTGCCCGTTGGCATCATTGTCAAGGGATTGCACGTGAACCCTGGCGTGGTTTTCGCCATGAACGCCATCGCCATCGTCCCTCTCGCCGGCCTACTCAGCCACGCCACCGAATCCGTGGCCAGCAAGCTCGGTGACACCGTCGGCGCCCTCCTGAACGTGACCTTTGGTAACGCCGTGGAGTTGATTATTTTGTAAGTCCCCTGCAATTGTTCTTGTTGGACCATCCAAACTGTACCGCTCGGTGTGGTTCCACCCGTCGCCGCCAGCTGGTGTTTCGGGAGGATGGTGAGAGGTGAGGGGACCATGAGATCCGACATGTTTTGGCTTGGCTTGGCTCTTGTCTTGGCCCTGTCGCACCCCGGATCTTGGCCCTTACTCGCCCCTCAAATCCGCACATCTCGCATCTCTTGGCAGAACCTTGGCTAATGCTTAATTCTTCTAGCATGTATGTCTCTACACCAATGCAGGCGATCAAGACAAGAAAGACAAGAGAAGTCGATGCAAAAAGACACTATCACATCAATCGAGTCCCAAATCATGCAGCTTTTTCTCCCCGCCTTCGTCCATTCGTCTATGCACACACGTTGCCTTCATTTTGAATTTGTATTACAGTGTTACTGACATGATAATCTTTTGTGACGCTTCAGTATCGCACTTGCCAAGGTGAGCTTTCCCCCACCAATCGCAAAGTTGGGAATTGTCCTCTAACGCCATGACAGAATGAAATCCGTATCGTCCAGGCGTCGCTCCTTGGCTCCATTTTGGCCAACCTGCTGCTCATTTTGGGCATGTGTTTTTTCCTTGGTGGCTTGCGCTTCCGAGAGCAGGTATGATCGTCGATTCTGCTAAATTGACGAAGGAACACTAAACTCTTGGCAGATTTACAACAGCACCGTCACCCAGATGAGTGCTTGTCTGCTCAGTCTGAGTGTCATCAGTCTGGTCCTGCCCGTGCGTACTTCCTGATTCTCACATCGACATGATCGCTGACAAATCGCGCTTAGACTGCCTTCCACGCTTCTTTCACGAACCTCAAGACTGCCGACGATCAGACGCTGAAGATCAGCCGTGGTACCAGTGTCGTACGTAGCCATACGCAACTGACGATGAACGCTGCTAACCAGAACAGATCCTCCTTTTGGTGTACATTGTCTACCTCTTGTTCCAGCTCAAGTCTCATGCCTACATGTATGAGTCTACTCCTCAGCACATTGTCGATGCTGAGGCTGCTCCTGGTCCTGCCGTCGGATGGTTGGATACTTCCAGCTCTGAAAGCGACTCAGACTCCGACACCGACTCGGACAGCTCGGACAGTTCCGCCGGCACCGTCCGCCAGCGGATGAAGAAGGTCTTGCGTGGCGGCAGAAGACGCAAGTCCAGCGTGGCCTCCGTCGACATTGAGGGCCGCCCTCGCACTCGCAGCACCTCCGTTGGTACTCACAGCACTAAGGGCTCTCCCAGCCGCCCTCGTCTTCCTCGTTTCGGTTCAAGCGTTGGCAGTGAGGATGCCCTTGAGGATGAGAAGCCTCGCAAGCATCGCAAGCACCGCAGACGCCACCACAAGCACAAGAAGTCGAAGAAGAGGTCAAAGACCACCCTTGTCGATGTTGATGAGCCCGTCAGAAATGGTTCTGAGACTGCTTCCTTCCAGAATGGCGAACCTCGTCGCGTCGACTTCGCGCAGCAGGATGCGGCGCCCATTGAGGGACCTTCTCAGCCTTCCCAGGCCGAGAACGACCGCAGACCCCTGCCCGCCCTTCGCGGCCTGTCCATCAAGAACTTTACCCCTGCTGTCTTCACTCAGGGTCCTGGCTCTCCGGTCGTTGGTCCTGTTACTGGTGGCCCCGTCCCCCGCGTCCGTTTCGGTATCCGCCGCACCAACTCCCTGCCTGACCGCCTGAACCAATATGGCGCAAACCCTGGCGTCAGACCCCCTGGCGCCTTGTTCCCCGCCCAAATCCCCAGGAATGTTATTCACAGCAGCGACGGTACGGAGGAGAAGGTAATGCCCAATGACCACCTGTCTCGCACTGCCGCCATTCTCCTCCTCCTGTTCTCTACTGGTCTCGTCGCAGTCTGTGCCGAGTTCCTGGTCGACTCCATCAACGACGTCGTGGAGTCAAGTCCCTTGGGCGAGGTTTTCATCGGTCTCATCATTCTCCCAATTGTCGGTAACGCCGCAGAGCACGTCACTGCCATTACGGTTGCCATGAAGAACAAGATGGATTTGGCCATCGGTGTCGCCGTCGGTTCGTCCATTCAGATCGCCCTGTTCATCACCCCCATCGTCGTCATCATCGGCTGGGCTCTTGGCAGGGACATGTCGCTGTACTTCACCCTCTTCGAGACGGTCTGTCTCTTCGTCTCGGCCTTCATCGTCAACTTCCTAGTCCTCGACGGCAGGAGTAACTACCTCGAGGGTGCTCTCTTGTGTGCGACATACGTCATCATCGCTCTGGTGGCGTTCTTCTACCCCAACTCTGACGAGGTCAACGCTCTGGGTGCTTAAGTGTACGAGACGTTGTAGGATACGTGTCAGCGAGGCTGAGTTGTTGGTGAGGGCAGCTTATGACTTTCATGATGCTTTATGACTCCTTTTTTCTTTCTAGCCGTATGACGTCGCTTGACGTCGATGGCTACTTTTTACCAAGGGGATGATTAGGATTGGGGTATTTCTTTCTTCACATGACCAAATTTGTAACAATTTAAGGCCATTCTTAGACGGCAGTAAATAGAGACGATACTGGACCGTCATTCACTCGAGCGACGAGGACGGGTCGTCTTACGCCGATTATCAAACACTTTTATTCATCAATGTTTTCAATTTGGCTGCTACGTGATCGCGTGAGTACATGAGTAGAGAATGATGTTCGAAGTAGACATTCAAACGTCTTTTCAAACAACACAGGATAAAGCATGTGGGTCTCTGACATGCCAAAGGCGCTAACGGTGAGGTGGTGTTCGGGTATTTAGAATGCTTCTCCCCCCCAGCAGCAAGAGCGGCCTTCGTGCCTTCCCTCTCATCACTTCACGTTCACCTTCACCTTCACCATGGACCCACCACGCCTCCTGCCTTCCCAATGGTATATCTTTACTTGCATCTCAGGATCTGTCACCAGTTCAGCGAAAACGGCGTGACCTAGTTGGTAAAAGCACACGTTTAAACAAATTCTTCCCAAGGGTTTCTCTGGTAACCTAGGAGGGGCGCTAAGTTCGAATCTCGTCACGCGAGTAAAAAAGGGCCTTGAGGATGCGGACCTAGTAGTCCCATTTTTGTATTTTGGTTTTTCTTTATGTTTTCCCTTGCTTCGTTCGTTTTGTGAGTTTGGGTTGGCCGTGCAAGTCTTTTCCGCGTGAGTATCACGACAATTTGTTCGCGATATTGTCGGCCGGTGATATCACACCGATGCATCGAGATCTGGTGGCCCACCGGGTAAGCTTAAGTTTTAGCCGCAGCGCCCGACAGGACGCGCCCCCCCACCCGACCACTGGAAGTTTGCGCCCGGCGGCGCCGTGGAAGACAGGCGGCCTCCGCCAAATATCAGCAGTGGCTGAGCATTCTTTGTCCTAGCCTGAAAGGGTTGTGGTTTACCGTTTGCCTACCTACCCGGTGTAATTGTTTGGAACCGTTTTCTGGTTTTAGCCGGGCTGCAATCGTATCTTGAAGGAGAGAAAACAGAACTGTTCAATGTGACCTTTTTGCGCAAACGAACGTGTGGACTGCAGCAAGGAGGCGGCGCGCTTTTGGGTGACATTTTGTCCCGTTCGTTGCGGGGAGCTGCTGCGGCGGCTTGCATCAGTGTAAAGTGCCCTGCGGGCGGGCGGATTCATCATTCAGGTGCCCTGCAGGAATAAAAATGGAGCGGCTGCCTAAACCGGACAGCTTCAGTGTGTTTTATTGGATTCACCGGTGCGAACCTCTGTAGCCAAGCCACACAGCCACATCTCACCTTCCATTGCCCATATCTCAACCGCCCATCCCGCATCATTCATCGCCATTTCCATCTCGCATCATCGTCAAAAGTGCAGGAAAAAGAAGAAACACAAGTGCATAATTCGAAAGCTGCGCGCCATCCGCGATACTACTGCAAAACACACAGCATCCGGTCCACGCCCAATCGCAGTCCTTGTTTCAGATCCCTAACCCCAGAAAGCTCAAGCTTGGGCTTTATTTCAACGTCAAGGCGGCCCAGCGACTCTGGCGGTTTCCGCAAGCATCCGACACACCAGACGAACACGCGCATTGAATTCCTGTCTCCTCCCTCCACCAACCATCCCGGCCAAAGCTTTTCCCCCTCCCTCGCCACCCTTTTTCCCTGGAACGATGTGTTTCGGCGGGAAGGCCGACAAGGATGACTCTCCTGCACCGAGACCAGCGCAACGACCATCTTCAGCGCAACAGCAACACCACCAGCAACAGGACGTGAAGATGAGCGGCAACCAGTACGCGGAACCCGCCGGGCAGGGCTCTGGTGGCGAGACATATGCGCCGCCGAGCGGTCCGCCTCCGAGTCAGACGTATGCTCCCCCGAGTGGTCCACCCCCGGGCCGGACACAGGATGATTTCGCACCTCCGCCGGGACCTCCACCTGCTCAATCGTACGCCGCGCCGCCCGGCCCTCCGCCCAGTCAACAATACGCTCCGCCTCCTGGACCGCCTCCCTCCCACCAGCAGGGAGAATATGCACCGCCGCCGGGTCCCCCGCCTTCAAAGCAGGACTACACGGCGCCGCCCCCCGGTCCTCCTCCCTCCCAATCCAAGCCGAAGCACGATTGGGAGGAGGCAGTTCCTGACACTTCCCTGTTCCCTCCGCCGCCAGCCTTCTTCAGCGGCTGGGACCGGTCGCCTGCCAACAACTCAACCGAGGCGGAAGCCGAGGCCGGCGAGGAGTGGGTTCGCAAGTATCCTCTGATCCAGCCCATTGACCTCGACCACGCGGCTCTCGCAGCCCTCCACACGAGCAGGATCTCATTGCTTCAACCCAGCGGCTTCAAAGGGACACTCAACCAAGTCGCCCCAGGCGTCTGGGAAGCCTCGACACCAAAGAGCGCCCCCGACGGCACCATCATCGGCTACCCGCCCCTCTACTCCGTGAAGAACCATTCGCCCCTGGCCACCGGCCGCCCATTCACGGCGTACTATGAAGTTCAGATACGCCAGAGCGGCAACAAGGAGGTCGACGTCGCTATCGGCTTCACGGCGCTGCCGTACCCCAACTTTAGACTGCCGGGATGGCATCGTGGCAGTCTTGCGATCCATGGTGACGATGGGCACAAGTATATCAATGACCGTTGGGGAGGCAAGTCGTTTACTGACCCCTTCCGGGTTGGCGAGAGGATCGGTGTCGGCATGACCTTCTCGGCCAAGGACGGCAGAGTCAACGTCGACGTGTTCCTCACCCGCGACGGTGCGCTGAGGGGGCAGTGGAACCTACACGAGGAGATTGACGCGGAACAGGATGGGCCAGTTGATGGGTTGGAGGGGTTCCATGACTTGAGCTGTGCGATTGGGTCTTTCAACAAGAACATTTATGAGATCATCTTTGACCCGAGTCGGTGGAAGTATCGGCCTTGAGGGCGAATGGTTTCTTTCATATCCACAGGGTGAGGCAGAGCGTTGATTAGTACACAAACAGTTTGCACTTCGTCCTAATTCGATTCTAAGTATACACAAATTCTTCCTTCTCACAAAATGCTCATATCTTGGCCTTGACATCCGTCTCTTTCCACCACGGATACGCGCTCGGCGCATCCTTTTCCATGGTCGCCTCAAACTTTGGCGGCCTCTTCTGCATGAAGCTATCCATGCCCTCCTTACTATCCTTCCCGCCGAACAGGTCAAAGAAGATCTTGCTCTCCAACAAATGCGCCTCCTCCGGCGACGCCGGCGTCCGCAGTATCATGTCCCGCATCACCCTTACCGCAACCGTGCTCGTGTTCGCCGCCACGTCCTCCGCGATCGCCAGCGCCCTCGGCAGCACCTCCGCCGGCGCAACGATCTCGCTGAACAGGTTCCGCAGCAACGGGTCCGTCGCGGGGTAGACGGCGCCGGTGGTGACGAGGTGCAGCGCGGGGCCGGCCCCAATCAAGCGCGGGAGGTAGAAGGATGAGCAGGCCTCCATGTTGAAGCCGCGGCGGGCGAAGACGAAGCCGATCTTGGCGTCGCGGGAGACGACGCGGACGGAAGCGGGCAGGGCCATGGTGATGCCGACGCCGACGGCCGAGCCGTTGAGGGCGGCGATGATGGGCTTGGAGCAGTTGTGCATGGCGAGGGCGACGAGGCCGCCGGTGTCGCGGTGGGCGTCGCGGGTGGAGGGCAGGCGGACGGGGGAGGTGAGGTCCATGCCGGCGCAGAAGGTCTTGTTGGAGGGGTCGGCGCCGGTGAGGACGATGGCTTTGACGCGCGGGTCGGCGGAGAGGAGGGCGTAGGCGCGGGCGAGGGAGTGCGCCATTTGGTCTGTGAAGGCGTTGCGGGCGGCGGGGCGGTTGAGGGTGAGGATGATCACGGGGGTGACGGTTGGGGAGGATGGCGGGTGGTGGGAGAGGAGGAGGTGAGGAAGGGAGAGGGTTGTGTAGCTTTCTGGGAGGGCGGTCATGGTGCTGGTTGTGTTTTCTGTTTGGATTTGTCTGTTCTGTGATCAAGGAATTCAAGGCGATTTTTCTTATTGATATATGGGATGTTGAAGCTGGTATATGAAGCTATGATGGTGAACATGAGTTGGAGATGGAGGGGTCGTTTACAACCGAGGTCCGTTATGGCTGCGGGAGCTGTCAAACGTCACTATGAACTTTCCTCGAGTCCCAATAAAACGGCATGGATAAGATGAGATACAGGGCATAATTGATACTTTCAAGTCGGAAATTATTGTAACAACACATCTAAGAAGCCTCCTCTTCCAATACCATGACCCTTGGCTGTAATGTAAGTCCATGGAGCTGCGTTCACAGTGACATGTTCACCGAGCTCACCGGGAGCTCCGATAAGGATGAGATAAAGACAGTGCCAAGAGCCGTGCTGGAGACCCACGACACAGTACGGCTGACTCAACCAACCACTTGCGCATCGAGAGCCTCCGTGCTCGACCAAAGGCGCATTCTCGACATGCCGTAGACATGCAACATCCTAAAGAGTATGGTCTATGATTGGGATGCCCACGAGAAGCTATGTTTCCAGCTATATATCAACGAGAAAAAGTCCCTCGAGGACATCATGGAATATCTCAAAATCCACCATGACTTTTCGCCCTGGTAAGCAACCGACTCCCAGATTCTCTGGATGGGGTACCCCTTCGTCCTCGGTGGTCTCTCTCGCCGGCCGGACCATCCGATCCACCCAGCAAGCTTCACCTGCTTGCCGGGAAACGGGGGACAAAATCTGGGGTAGAAATTAGGGGACCTGGGCTGATGACGTATCGTGCAGTAAACGAGCTTTCCAGACGCAGTTCCGCAAATGGGACTTTCCTTCGAAGCAGAACCCCGCGTACAAGAATGATCGGCTGGTCGCGCGGGTCAGGGAGTTGTGGGAGAGGAATCTGTCGCAGACGGAGATGCTGAGGGTGTTGAACGAGGAGGGATTCGACATTAAGAAGAGGGAACTCATCCGGGTGAGGACGAAGAATCGGTGGCTACTCAAGGCTGCGAATGGGGAGAGGGCGAAGGACGTGCCCGACCCTGAGCTGAGGCCGTCGCCGTTGCAAGATGGCTTCGGGGGACACAATGGTGGAGGTACACCTGACACCTTGACAGACCATGAGGTTCTGGGAGCGATGCCTGACGATGTCGGCACGGCGTGGGATCAGGATAACAACCGGAGGAAGAGGAGGCGGCTGAAGGCCTTTGAGAGTGCGTCGCTGGATGCACCTATTGCTCCCCGGTTTCCGTCCGAGACCACTCTCGACGAGGCCAAAGTCATACTTGGTCTGGCGAACGACGTCTACCGACAGCTGCGGACCACGTTCGCGCGGCTCTGCGAAGAGTCAGACATCGTCAAGAAGACCATTGCCGGGCCCGACAGGTGGGAGGCTGTGAAGGAACGGCTGATACAAGAGATGCCGCAGCTCCAGGCAGCCATGTGGCAGTCCAGGGACAACCACGAGTCCAAGAAACTGGCCCTCGACGTTATTTGCACCGACATTACGAAGCGTGCGAGGACGCTGGAGAAAAGGATCACTCTCGCGGAGGCCAAGAACATACTTGGCATCAATCCCGAGGAGGCAAGAGACGTGCGCACCGCTTTTGAGCAGATACTGAAGGAGGGTGGCCTCAGCTCCAAGGCTGATGCCGGGCCTGCGCAGTGGGATAGCTTGAAAGACAGGTGGGTGGACGGATCGGATCTCATCCAGCGCATTCTCGCACTTGGGCCTGCGGATTCCTCTCATGCTAAGAAGGTAAGAGCTCTGGATGTGCTCGCCCGGGACGTCATGAAAAGGCTGCGAGACGACATGTCGAGAAAGGACAAGCCAAAGAAAGGGGGCGCCACGAAGACGGGACCGCCGAAGGTGTCTGGAAACCGGCACAATCAGCATGCGGAGGTGGCTCAGCCCCAGCCAGACATGGTGGAAGACATCCAGAGTAACACCGACCTGGTCAGCCAATACGGAAACGCAGGGCAAGTCTCGTCGATGGGCCTGGTCCCCAGTTCCGGAGACAACCAGGCGCAGCTGCTCATACCCGTCCCGATGCAAGCCCAAGCCGCCGACCCTCTCGGCCACTCTGCGGCACGCATCCTCTCCAATGCTCTCCTCGGCCAGCCGAACATGGCGCTCGACTCGCATCTCGGGTCTTCCCTCCTACTCGCCGCCAACGCGCAGGCAGCCTTCGTGGACCAGCAGTACGCGCAGCAGTTCACGGCGGCGCAGTCCGTCTTCCATGCCGCCCCGCCACTGCCCACGACCGTGGCTATCTACATGCGCCTGCACCCTTCGTCGACGTTCGTGGTGAATGCGAACCTCTGGATCGCGACGCTGAGCTCGCACTCGATGCAGGAGTTGCGGCACGTGGCGGCGAGCAAGTTCCCCGGGGCCATTTGCCTGAGAGTTGAGGGGGTGCTGAAGGATGGCAAGGGCGGAGAGATGCCTTTGCAGATTGACCAAGATCCGGAGCTGGCTGCATACCTGGCGCACTTGCAGGGTGCCACGCCCACTTTCAACGTGCAGCTCGTCCCCGGATGGAAGACTGGCTGAGGTGTTCCATGCGGGTAAAGTGCGGTACACGAATTACCGATAAATAGACTGTTAGGATATAATGGCCCGAATGAGGGTAGAAGATGCTCACACGAGCGAAATACCGATGCTGGTGCTGCTGCCGGAAGGGTACGGGAGAGACAGTATCGGGCTACGAGATATCTACGCTAATGCATGGCTGGAATCCAATTGTTTTTCGTAAAGTTCAGTCCCTCATCCGATGAGTGATGGTGGCGCCCCTCGCCAATGTTGCAGTAAGCCAAAGTTCACCTCGGGCTTGGTAATGTAGAGGGCGGGCGGAAGGGGGAAAAGGAAGCCACGGCAAAGTGTGGAGTTGCGCCGGTCGCGGTGCACCGCGGGGTTCCACAGCTTCCCAGGTCGTCCACCCCGCTGGCCGGGCCGGCCAATCCTTATCCCCGACAGCTGTGGCAGCTGCAGGCTTTTGCATGGATTCTCTTTCGCCATTCGAGCTCCAAAAGATCTAAGACCCGGGGGGGTTTTGCAGCTCCACCACAACCACCACCTACAACCTACACATTGTTACCTTTGTCACCCCTCCTTCTCAACCCGGATAGATTTATAAACTATACCGTCTTTTCCTCTAATTCGAAATTGTCTCAATTGCTTCCTAGAACCGCTCCTACGATAATATCATCCTTCGCGACCCGAGCCAGCGCAATGGCGCATCTTAGAGCCAGAGCTCCGCAAGCAGCTTTGCAGGGCCTCAGAGCCGCGAGCCCGGCCCCGCGCCGACGATGCGTCGCCCTCGCTGGCGCCGCGCGGCAAATGTCCAGCAAGCCCGAACGACCGGCGTCGAACGAGGAGAAGCACGGCAGGTCCTTCCAGGGCCAGGTCGTCGGCTCCATCTCCCAGAGACTGGCGCGCGAGCGGGCGGAACGCGAGAGGTTCGCTGCTGAGCGGGAAAAGACCGGTCCCGGCAGAAACTGGGCGTACACCTTTGGTGAGCACAACAGCAGCCTTGCCCCGATACACAAGTGCCCTCGGTAGCTAATGTGTTGTGTGCTTCCTTTTGCAGTGCTCCTCACATCCGTTGGTGTGTCGTACTACCTCGGCACCCTCGTCCCCTCAAGTCCCAACGAAGAGTCGACGCTGCCGCTGCACAAGACGACCGCACCGCTACACAAACTTAACAAGGAGAACCTCGAGGCCGCGTGGGCGGATTTCGTCAACATCGTCGGCAAGGAGAACGTCAGTACTACCAGCACCGACCTCGACCACCACGCCAGCTCGGAATGGTCGTCGCACGCGGCGGGGCCCGACGAGAGGCCCTTCTGCGTCGTGTTCCCCAGCTCCACGGACGAGGTCTCGCAGGTCATGCGCATCTGCCACCAGCGCCGAATCCCCGTCGTCGGCTACAGCGGCGGCACCAGCCTGGAGGGCCACTTCACGCCCACGCGCGGCGGCATCTCCATCGACTTTGGCCGCATGAACAAGGTCCTGGCGCTGCACCAGGAGGACCTCGACGTCGTCGTGCAGCCCGCCGTCGGCTGGGAGTCGCTTAACGATCAGCTCGCACAGTCGAACCTCTTCTTCCCGCCGGACCCGGGCCCGGGCGCCATGATCGGCGGCATGATCGGCACGGGGTGCAGCGGGACGAACGCCTACCGCTACGGCACCATGCGCGAGTGGGTTCTTAGTCTGACCGTCGTACTGGCGGACGGCACCGTGATCAAGACGAGGCAGCGCCCGCGCAAGAGCTCCGCCGGCTACGACCTCACCAAGCTATTCATCGGCTCCGAGGGCACGCTGGGGCTCGTCACGGAGGCGACGCTCAAGGTCACGACGAAGCCGGCGTCGACGTCCGTGGCGGTGACATCGTTCCCGACGATCCGCGACGCCGCGAGCTGCGTGGCCAAGGTCGTCGCGGCGGGCATCCCCGTCGCGGCGGTGGAGATCCTGGACGACCTGCAGATGCAGTGCATCAACAAGGCGGGCATGACGAGCAAGGCGTGGGCGGAGGCGCCGACGCTCTTCTTCAAGTTCGCGGGCACCGAGAGCGGCGTCAAGGAGCAGGTGGCCCTCGTGAAGCAGCTCGCCGCCAAGACCGGCAGCAAGACATTCGACTTTGCCAAGAACGAGGAGGAACAGCACGAGCTCTGGAGCGCGAGGAAGGAGGCCTTGTGGAGCACCATGGCGGTCAAGCGCGAGGGCGACCACGTCTGGACCGGCGACGTCGCCGTGCCGATGAGCAGGCTGCCGGACATCATCGAGGAGACCAAGGAGGCGCTGGCCAAGACGGGGCTGTTCGGGACCATTGTCGGCCACGTCGGTGACGGCAACTTCCACACCATTCTGCTGTACAACGACCAAGAGCGCAAGCGGGCCGAGCACTTTGTGCACAACATGGTCAAGCGCGCTGTCGAGATGGAGGGCACTGTCACGGTATGTCATGCGGTTCACACTTGAGAGAAGTGGTCACTGACAGATTTTGCAGGGTGAGCACGGTGTTGGTCTCGTCAAGAGAGACTATCTCCCCCACGAGCTGGGTGAGACGACCGTCGACACCATGAGACAGGTAAGCAAGAGTCCGCGGAACGGCGTGGTGGTCAACTTCCGATTGCTAACTGTTTTTTCTCTTCAGATCAAGAAGGCTCTCGACCCCCTCTGCCTCCTCAACTGCGATAAGATCGTCAGGGTACAGCCTCCCAAGGCTGGCGAGGTGAGCGAGTGGTAAGGCGGCGTCTCGATCCGGACTGGTGTATGAATAGGGCACGCGCGATTCGACCTAAAACTACTACTCTTGTACATATATCTCTCTAACATTCCCCGCTGAAGTTGCGCCTGTTGGGCTGGAGTTTTGACGGCTGTTGTCCTCACCATGGCGCATAAGGCGACTGAATTCACACGCTCATGACCTACGAAATGACTCATTCGAAAAATTGGGAATAAACATCACAACACCAACCGTGCAAAAATGTGATCTTGACATCTGGGTGAAAACGGCAAAAAGTAATCTTTGAAAGGGACGAGACTCGAACTCGCGCGGGTTGCCCCACCAGGAAACAGATGTTAAGCTGACCTTAACCTGGCGCCATAACCAACTCGGCCACCCTTCCTGAGATTGTTGAGACTTTCGTCGTGGTGGAGGTGTGATGAAGCCCTCGCCAACCAGGGCTTGGTCCTGGGGATCCACACCCTGGCGGCCGGAGAGGTGCCGGCCGCAACGGTCGGTCCGGCTGCGTCATCCCTGTTGTGCGAAGTGCTAGAGACATTGTTGTTATATAAATATGAGGTTGTATTCTGTCTCCGAGTGAATCTGTAACAATTGAACAAGAATCTTATTGTTTTGCGATATGCAGCTTTGAGCACTTTGGCCGTCTCCGAACTAAGATCCATCGCCGAGTCAAGTGTGACTTTGTTCTTGATTGGTTTCGCTTTGATGTTTGTCATTCTTGCCTGTGGTATATACTGATATATTCATGAGAGGGGTCTGTGACTTTGTGCTCGTCGAAATACTTCTATTCCGAAAGCACCACAGCCCGGTTCTTCAGACATCGAGCTGACGCAGAGGAGCCATTACGACGAGCGGTGACTTCATCCACGAGAAACCAGCCATCAGGGATATTTGGCGCCGTGCAGTACTGCTCAGCATGGGTGATTACTTTATATAGCGTTGGTATTTGGTGAGGGGGTAGATTGAATAATGGACAGAACGTAGCTCTCGAAGCTCAATGTCGCAGTCATTTGGGTACTCGAAAGTCATTAGGGAGAGGCCCATAGCGCAAGACGATGAAGTAGTCGCCTTGGGATTGCGAACGTATGCGAGAATCATATCGTACCTAACGTGGTCAGTAGCGTCAGTCAGCTTTGTTAGTGTTCGTGTATTCCGTTCGAGGACTTCAATGAGACCGTGAAGACTCAATTTGCTGGGCCACCTGTAACTGGGCAGCTCAGTTCATAACTCCTTTCATCCCTAGTATCATGATGTATACAGAGAACAACAAGCTTGATGCGTGTAACCCATTGTTTGCGGATTCTGACTTGGCGGGTTCAATTCGCCTTTTACTAAGTCCCTTGGTCTCTCCGTTCTTCTCCTAAACTTGCATCTGCCAGGAAGCATGGTTTCCTATTTGGTACCATACTTCAAAGTGTGTAACTCATCTGTCAATCACTCTTCAGATTATCTAAAGGGCTGATAAAATCCCAAGATGCTCGCGATGAGCTTGGTTCTAATGCCAAATGCCATACGACGATCTCCGACTTGATAACATCTGCACGGAAGCTCATCGCACGACTAGAGTCATGTGCGAGGTCTGAGCAAGCCCGTACTCGATTCTACAACTTTTGATTAACGTCCACCAAGGCTGTTTAGTTCTGACGCCTGGGTATTTATCAAAAATACATACATTCGATACCAGAGCATGCTGCTCAGGGCCGACACGGTTCATGCTGTTGATCGTCGAGCGATGGAAGGGAGAATAAGGGCCCTGCACTTCTTCGGTCTTGTGCCCGCGACGAGGTCAATATGCTTCCTCCATAAATCACGGTGCCATCGTTTCCTTTCTTCGAATCCCCTCCAGCAATGACTGGTTGCTTAGAATATTATTAGTAGGGAGGCAAATGGAAGTTGCTAATAACACGATGGATCACAATTGAAAGCAGGTATGGAAACCAAAAGTGGCAATTTGAGAAGACTTACTCGACTCTCTGGCCTTGCCGATGTATTCGTTGGTTCGTATACCCAAGAGCCACTTGAATCGTTGTTCCAAATAGATCACGTCCATTTGAGTACTGACCCTGTAGTGCAGTGTAGTGACTCGGGGCAAAGTAGGGGATGGCTACGAAGCCGAATCGATTCAGTCGACGACCAGGATTTGGACAGGGCGTCCAGAGATCTGCACCTCTTGCGTACTTATACATGGGAGCTGTATCTCGTTAAGTGGCTCAAGTCTCTTCAAGCGACATTTCAAGGGCGGAGGGCATTGGGCCAACAAAAAGGCACGAGTTGGTGATCATAGCATGCTTGGAGCCACGATACGGGGAAAACATCCCTCTATGCACACGCATGGATATAGCACTTGTTAAGGATAGACCGTTACGCGCAGGTATGCTTTCAACGGACAAAAAGATGTTGAGGTCATCTCGTTTCGAGAGGTATTAAAGCAGCTAGCATGTGCACTGAGTATCTGGGCTGTTCTCCTCTTTCGAAACAAATATTGCGATCTGATGTTGATGACAAATGAATGCGCGCGTTCATAACGTTCATCTCCAAGACATCACTTGTCTAAAGACTTTTCCAAAGCAATCGAGGTGTCAATCTGGTTGTTCGAAAGCATCGGGTTGTACCATTACAGCAGTTGCTGTTCAGTATAAACAGCACAAGACGCCAGACAACAACGACAGACAGGGAAAGACTCTAGACAAGTTCGATCAGTAACGAGCAGCTGCCACAGATGTCCCATGTGCCGAGTGATCAACTTATAAGGCGTACACCCAGAAACCAAAGTGACAAAGATCAAAGAGTACTGGCTACTGGCCGGTCGCTATTCCACCAAGACCTCTCATACTTTATAACGACTTCAGAAGCCGGCTTAACATCACGGCAGTCACACTTGCAGATAACCTCATACCGGTCCTCCTACCGTCACATTCATGCCCCATCCCTCACCATTGCTTCTTGAAGTGATTGATATCATTTGACGCAGACACATAAATCCGCTACTATACATCTAGGGTACTTCATCATCCTGAACACTTCGTCCCTCTTCGGGGCATCATTTGAGACTTATTTGCGCGCTGGTACCATAGACCTAAGCCGCGTAGACGACAAAATGAAAAGTTATGTTTAGACGGTAAGGAAAGCCATAAAAAACCACCGCCATCCTTCTCCTCCACCACCACGAACAGGAAGCCTGCGAGACACACTGCCTGCCACGCGCTCAACCGTACTGCTGCCTCAAAGGCAACTTCCGATCCAGCGTGTGAAACGCCATCGTCCGCGGCGTATACGGCACCGTCCTCGGCGTCGCCGGGCCCTTCTGCATGTCCCTCATCTCCCACTCTCGCGCCTCCTTCGGGTCCACCGGCGAACTGCCATCACTGCCCGCAGCCTCCTCGTCCTCGGCGCCCTCCTTGTCGAACTTATTCGGCAGGCACACGTACACCGCGATGCCCAGACTGCACAGGAACAGGAACAGCATGTACACCGTCACGGCGAACGTGCCCTTGGCAAGCATGCACGACTTCTCCGCCCTGTAGGGCGCCGCATACGAGCAAGACTTTGAAATGTACCACGCCACGTTGGAGGGGTACCGCGGGTCCGCGTGGTCCGGGCCCATCTGCCCGTATACGGAGACGGTGTACATGGCGACCATGGCGACGTTGATGCCGACGGCGAGGAGGGGGAACCAGAACTTCATGATGAAGAAGACGAGCTTGGTGAGGAGGAGGAAGAGGGTGATGACGGAGAGGGCGACGTTGAAGTCGGTCAGTCTGTTCATTTGAGTGTCAGCTTCCTTCAATTTCCAAATCTCTTTCAAACTCATCCACAAGAACAAAACTTACGTCCTCGTCCATACAAAGGGAACCGTCGGCAGGGACTCATAGTTGGCGTAGGCGTAGAGCACCATGTTCGGGCTCGAGTTGAAGCCGTAGGCGTGTCCAATCTCCCACATCTTTGTGCGGTAGAGGTCCGGCTGGGCGATGCCGAAGAGGACGAGCAGCGGCACGAGGCCGGCCAGCTCGAGCGGGAAGATGGCCCACATCCATGGCCTGAGAAGCCATTTCCTGTGCAGGATCTTGTATGCCATCTTGGCGAGGCTGTGGATTTGGTATGATGATTAAAGCGGTTTGCGATATGCCCGCGCGCGCTCGCGCCGGTTCGAGGTTCGAGGTGGGCGGGTTGCGTTATTGTACTGCCCCCGCGGGTGTGGCAAACGTCTTGTCCTACTCTCTCCTCACTATTCCTCCGGCCTGGTTGGAAAGCTTGGGGGTGTTGGTCGGCTATTCTTATCCCGCTGAAGGCGCAGTCGTCGCCGAGGCAAACAATGGGAGGGATTTCACATTGGTCAGAGTACCAGCACTCGACCTCAGCTGTTAAACGAAAATCAGCACTATTCCGCCGTTCCCTTCGTTATCGTTATTGTCGTCGTCGTCGGTTCCGCTCGCGAATCTTCAAAGAGGGGAAAGGAGAAGAGAGGTTGCAAAGCGACCGCCGAGCCCGGTCGGGGCAGGGTGGCAGTTTAATGGCCATCTCTTGCAGATTCACGCCTTCACCCGGGCCTTGCTTGCCCACACACACATTCGCTCTCTTCGCCATTCACCATTCACCGGTTCACAGAGAGGGGGGCCGCTGGCAAGCAGGTCGGTGGCCCGGGTCAGCTTAGGGTCGCGGCATTGGACGGCTGCTGCATGTGCCGTGGTCGACAATCACAGCGGCGGTGCCCAATGAGGAGCGGAGGCGGGCAGAGGTGCTAAGCGCCGGGCTGGGGAGGGGCCGTTCGATTGGCCGGCCCCTGGGCGAGTTAGCCAATGGGGATGGCGATACGCGACGTTGCGCACAATACCCGCCCGTCTTTTTTTCGACCGGGGGCAGGATGAGGACGGGACAAGGGTCTTGGATGGCTGGGGGCCGTTTTTTCCGGTCACTCAATCACTGTCCGTTGGGGGGAGCTGTGGACTGAGAGAGGAGGGCAGAGCAGCCTTTTCGTGCGATGCTGGTGCGATGCGACCGCAAACGCAGCAGAAATCAGGGGTGAAGCGGCGTGATCGCTTGCGTTGACGCACAGTGATGGACAGGTGGAAACCCCGGATGTTGGGTGATTGTGTTGGTTCTACCGAACGAGACTGCACACTCGGCGCTTGCTGCGAAGCGTCTTGTCTCGCGATGTGATGGGGCACCCGTTCATGGATCTGACAAAGCGGGCCGGCCGGTTGACGGCCTCCCGTCTGCTTCCCGGAATGGTGGCGACGGCCCACGGGCGGGAACAACCAGACGCCGCGCATGGCACGTGTCTTTGGAGAGCACTACCTTAGACTGAAGAGACCCTTAGACACCGACGATCACACCGTGCTTTTTTCGCTGTCAAGAAGCTGCCATCGTCTGTCAAGGGAGACAAGCTTCTAGCGGTGTCCGACAGCAAGGTAAGGTGTCCGTAGACCGGGACGCTATCGGGAATCCCACATCGCGGGCTTAGGTGAGCGACGATCCGATCTACCGGCAATAAGCAAAGGATCATCGACGAAAGATATTAATAGGGGGGCAGCAAGGCACGCAAGAGTGCCACGAGAATGGGACTCTGACTGCCACCTTCAGATGACAAATGAGCTTGACCCGCGTCGTGCCTTGCCAACCACCACGAGTGACTTGCATGTGCTCTGCCTGCTTTGGGTGCCATCGGGTGAAGTATTCTGGGTATAGCTGACTGCCAGCTTGACAGACAGCGAATCAACCGGACGAACCCATCAGGCTGGTTCAACGTGTCAGCACCGACAACACGGTGACCGAAGGAGGTACTACACTCGTAACAGCCCCCAAGGACGACGTACGCAATGATGCCCACTGTCGTGCGTCTCCAGAGAACAAAACTCAGCCGTGTGCTCAGTCGTTAGCGGCTCCGAAAATGCGAATGCTCGGACAACACCGATGGCGCCTCGTGGTTGAAGCGGAGATGAGGTTTCTCATGCGGAGAGGGAGGAACGAGACGAGACATGGCTCCTCGCGACTCAGAACCCCACCCAGGTGAAGAAATGGGCAGGAATGCTATGCCTTGCCAAATCTCGGTGCTCGCTCCAACCAATGGGCGTCTTGTTGGCCCGTTTCTCCTTGCGTCATGCACCCAGGAGATGGAAAGACCCCGTTCCATTTTAACGAGAGATAGGGCTGATTTCTCGCTTCTCACAGCGACGATGTTCGATGTTAGCAAGGCCTAGACCGCGCTCATGGATACCAGCCGGTTATATCTTGGTGACGGCGGGATGACGAAGGGGGCTTCGACGCTTGAATCCTCCTGGTATTTTCATATCGGCCACAATTTGTTCTCTGGAGAGATTGTGTAACATGCTGCTACAGATACGCCGTTGACCTGAACAACATGGACGTCGAGCGTTTTGCTCGGATTCGCGACTTGACACGCCGGGGCAATTCGTCCGTGGAAAGGCTCAACGTCTCGCTTGCGCCCTTTGGTTGGCGCAGACGTTCGGAACACAGGCCGTGGAGGCATGTGAGACGGTTGAGGCGCTCCCTCGCCTGGCATTCTTCTGGTTGGAAATCCAATGAGAGAAGAATAGAAAGCAGATAGCAGCTCGGCTCCTGGCAATCGCCTAGTCTCACCAGGGCCAAAAGCGCGAGGGCTGCAGGAGAGATTTCCGCGCACTTCCCGCAGAGATCAGTTCGCCGGAGAGGAATGCGTGCCATCCCTCCACCGACATTCAAGGCTGGCTGGCGTTGGCTCTGCGCGCTCGAGTTCTCCCCCGGCTCCGAAGTGAGACCTTGGGGCTGGCTGGCATCGACGCTGCCCTCGCACAAGGAGGCATGCGAAAAGATGTCGGTCGCTTCTTTGAGGACACCGCAGCGTGCGGTCTCTCCAAGCCTGTCCCAAGCACACCCTCTGTCAAAAGGACCCAGCAAGAGACAAGAGCACCAGCAGGTCTCGGTGGCGGGCATGCAACCGTAAAAGTGTATTTTGGAAGCAAACAGCCCGACAGCCCCCAGAAAGGGCTTACACAGCTGGTTTCCGCCCGCTTGGGCAAGTCCCGGGCGATCCGCTTGTTCAGGCCCCCCGTTCAGGCGCTCGTCCGCACGAGGCCGGACAGCCACAGGTGCCTTACGGCCCCACAAACATCGTATGATGATGGATGATTGGCAATGATTCTAAACGGTGTCCTTTGAAAGCCTCGGGATGCAGGAGGCGGGAAGATCTATGCCTCGTGCTAGGTGGAAGAGGAAGGCTGTTGTGCTGATCAGACGTGGGAGAGGCGGCAGTACTTGCTCGCCTGCTTGACAACTACCGGCGTTTGGAACGGCCAGGTAAGGTACGGCGCGGCACTGGATACGGAACGGGGTACGGCGTCTTTGAGAGAAGTGATGGACCGAAGATCATGGCTGAATGCAACGAGACACGGCCTTTGGTGCTGACCAGCAAGGCGAGGTATGGAGTGGGTGACTGCGCTGCGCTTACTTGAGAAAAGTCCCAACAGCAGCACCTCCAGGTAGGCGCAGGCTCCCTGCTTGTTAGGGGCAAAAAAAGGCCCAAAAAAAACAAACCAAAAAAAAAACCCCAAAAACTGCGTGTTGACCTGTCAGAAGCATCAGCAAAAAGAAGCTGAACTTGGACTTACCCAACACGAGCAAGCCATCGAACAGCGAATCATCCGCGAAGAATAAAACGGCAAGGCAGTCTGGCAGCGCAAAGTGCAGAGTGCAGACAGGCAATTGACAAGCGTGAAGCCGGAATGGGACCAATGAAACCGGGCTTAGGCGATGGGGGGAACTGGCAGGTGACGATCATCGATCGGCGAGCTCGGGGTGGGGGCGACCACAGTCTGGACCGCGCCAGTTCGAGACCGACAGGGGAGCAGGAGCCACAAGGACAAGGGTATCCCTGCCTCAAATCGGTGCTGGCGTCTGAGGGCACGGGCCAAGTGGAAGGGAACTCACACTTTCCCATCCCAAATTCGTCCACCAAGATGGGTACCGAAATCCAATCGCCATTGCTGTTTTTTGCTTGCCTGGTGCTTTTGGCAGCCGTTGCCGACGACGGCGCAACCGCACTTCTTCGGTGGCTGGGTTCAAGGAATGAGGAACCACGACATAATACTGCCACGGACATCTACTCAATGTCTGGCTAGACGACACTAGAAAAAGATGCTGCATCATTGCAGAAAATTAGGTGACGTAGCGCATGTCTCTCGTTCATTGCGGTGCAGATACTCCGCGACAGCATGAAGCTATCCAGCGGCCTGTGTGCCCATACACACAATAATTGACTGCTGCATGCAAAAAATCGCCATATGCTTCGAAATGGTTACTTGCAGCAGGCGCGCATCACCTCGCCATCCTCAACAGATTGAAAAATGTTTCCTGAATGGGTGCTGGTGCTGGACGTGCATCATGGGGCGCGCCGAGGCAAAGACACTGTAGGGACCGTCCATTCATGCTCGCGCAGTCGTTGCTTTTCTCTCTCTCTCTCTCTCTCTCTCTGTGTGTGTGTGTGTGTGTGTCCATATTTCTCTCATGGGTTCCCGTTTCGTTTTCCAATGTCTCAAAAGAGGTTCGCTTCGTCCAGGATTGCATTCCTGGCCATGGAGAGAGAGAGAGAGTGGAAGAGAGACACCCGGGAGGGGACGTCGGACCGTTGCATGCAAAGGACAAGTCAGATCGATATCATGTGAGCGCGAGCCTATAGGAACTAAGCCATGGGAAGAGATTAGAGATACCGAAGTACAACAGCACAACGTACCTGTTGAGCGCGAGATTTCAACATGGCGACTCTCTTTCTCCCCCCGGTCTCTTGTGACATGTATCATCGTCATTGTCTGTCATTGTCTGAGAAGCAAAACCTTATGTCCATACAACGTAGCGTTGATATCGCCATGGCAAATTGGCATGGTGGTTTTGCTGTGACTGCCAGCGGTTTCCCATCTGGAGGGTGAGATATTCACTGTCGCGGGCAACGGCAGCAGTGCGCGCGCAATTTTTGATGTGCACACAGTAGAGCATCCCATGTTTCGCCTCATCCCTCGTTTCCTTACCAGGCGAGGCAGCGATCATCAGGATTAAGGGCAAAAGCCGAATTGCTTCGTGGTGGAG